AAACATTATGCTCATCATTTTTTTTCTTTATATTTATTCATATTTGATCATCAAGAATTCTAACATATTTGTTGCTCTCCTGACCAAGAGCATGGGAGTCTTTAAAATAGAATTATGAAGCGAAAATTATATCAGAACTTGTTCTGTTGTTTCAGTGAAGTTGAGGTGGAATTAAGATAAAAACACATCTGAATTGATAAAATTGAAAAAGAGAAGGATTTTAATAATAAAACAGTCAATAATTTAGTACTAAATTATTCAAATAGATCATTATTAATTAAAGAATATTTCTTAGCATGAGTAGAAGTCTATTCATCATATACTAGTAACTTGAATCTTAAAAAAATGTTTTGCACTCCTGACCATAGAAATATAGATCTGAAACACAGACATACCCTGAAATTGATATATCTATTTGGTAAAAATGTTCTTTGTGTCCTTATTTTCCAAAATAAAAATCCGATACTAATAAAAAAAAATTTTCATGCTGGGGAACAAAACATCAATTGTTGCACTCCTGACATTATTGGGTATGCACAGATACTTGACTCTCATTAATGCTGCTTGTGATTTATGTAACATTTTTAAGTTTTAGATTGTATATCAGTTTTTTTTTTTTAACTTTGAAAATTCTTTTTTAACTGAATTGTCTTTCAGATTTTTTAAATCGATGTTTTTTGGCAACACTACATTTTTTTCTGTTGCATTCCTGACATGGTACATATATAACATTTTTTTCAACATCAGCCATGACCACAACTTGGTCAAACAAATGTTGCTTCATTCTACATTTAAAGCTCAATACTTTGAATATTATCAGGAAAGTCTTTATTTCCACCATAAACCATTATTATTTATTTCACAGATCTTCAAAAAATATTGAATTTTCAAAATGTCAGAAAAAGGTGCTGCACTGCTGACATTTTTAGCATCATTTTTGGGCATAACGTTTTTGTGAATTGAGATATCAATGAGATATATGGCAGGTATTTAGACACTATCTAAAGACATATTTTAGGAATGACTCTAATTCTTGGCCAAATTATTCGAGTATAACCTGGTTTGGGTCAGTTTACGCTTTATAATCCGCGAAGCGGATTATAAAACAGCGTAAACTGACCCAAACCAGGTTATACTCGAATAATTTGGCCAAGAATTAGAGTCATTCCTTATAATTTAATTTTAAAATCATGAAATAACTATGGGTGTAAAACTTCGTTGCTTTTTATTAGTTCAAATTTGCCGCTCAATAATACAACCTTAGTAACGGAAGTAACGGAAGTGATGGGAAGCAAGGGGAGGTAAAAACTGATACATAGGCCTAGCAGCCTTTTTACATGTGGTAAGAGCGAATTATCGTTTGAAGTTAAAGGTACGTTTATTAAATCTGGAATTTTCCATGAATCTCGAGGACTGGAAATGAGAGGATTGTATGGATACAGATAATTCAGCTGGTTGTCAGGGGGGTGTGTCCCCATACCAAACCAGGTTATACAGAAATAATTTGTGTTCCTTTTTGGATATTAACCAATCAGAGGCAAGAATACAAACAAAATTAAATTATTCTGAGATATAGAAATATAATTTAATTTTGTTTGTATACTAGCCTCTGATTGGTTAATATCCAAAAAGGAACACAAATTATTTCTGTATAACCTGGTTTGTTATGGGGACACCCCCCCCTGACAACCAGCTGAATCATCTGTATCCATACAATCCTCTCATTTCCAGTCCTAGGGATTCATGGAAAATTCCAGATTTAATAAATGTACCTTTAATTTCAAACAATAATTCGATCTTACCACATGTAACCAAACAACATGGCTGCTAGGCCTATGTATCAGTTTTTACCTCCCCTCGATTCCCATCACTTCCGTTACTTCCGTTACTATGGTTGTATTATTGAGCGGCAAATTTGAACTAATAAAAGTAACGAAATTTTACACCCATAGTTATTTAATGATTTTAAAATTAAATTATAAGGAATGACTCTAATTCTTGGCCAAATTATTCGAGTATAACCTGGTTTGGGTCGGTTTACGCTGTTTTATAATTCGCTTCGCGGATTATAAAGCATAAACTGACTCAAACCAGGTTATACTCGAATAATTTGGCCAAGAATTAGTGTCATTCCTAAATTATTCCAATTGCCTGTACTTTTAGTGCAGGTTGAAAAATATGTTTGGTCATTTTTTTTAATTCACCCATATATTTTGTACATTTACACAAGTTCTGAGCAAAATTATTTGTTTATACCATGTATATACATTATTTATATGCATATATACTTATGGCAAATCTATAAGGAGAGTTTAATATGTCTATTACAATTTATACTATGTCTTCGCAATTTAATATCAAGAATAATTTTTGTTTATCATGCAAATTTGTAAAAAATTTTACTTTAGATGAATTTAAGTTAAATAGTTCCTCTCTTTCCTTTGTAAATTTGCTACAATGAATAAGGAAGTGTTCTTCATCTTCAATTTGATAAACCATACAATTTTACAAATTCTTTCTGTTCTAGGTACATGAATGTTATTATATCTGCCCAATTCTATGAAAAGTCTGTGTGCTGATACACGTAATCTGCAAATTGACTTTTTGTATTCAAGTTTTAATAAAATTAGATATTTTTTCAGTCTGAAATTCGTCTTCAAAAATAAATAAGACAAGTTTTCCCTCTTTTAGTGTTTCATTTGAGTAATGCCAATTCAGTAAATATTTTTTAATCTGGAATTGTTTTTAATGAAGTTACAAATTATATAGTTATATAATGTTTGGAATATCAAGTATTATTACATTTTCAACAGTGAAATACTGTGATTTATTTATTGAATAAAAGTATAAAAGAATATTCTCTCACAGTGTGAAAGGATACCAAAATGATATTCTCTCACAGTATGAAAGGATATCAAAGTTGGTAAAAAATAATTTCTGGCCTGTCATGAGATAGAGATAGTAACTAACTGCAAATTTCTTCCCAAATGTGTTGCTAAAATCCATGCTATGTAATGTTTTCAATCACACAACTGCTAAGCTATGATGTCTCAACCGCTCAACTATGACGTCAGGCCTATGACACTGTGTTAAGAAAAGACAGGGGCAAAGGGAAAATCAAAGAAAATGTAATAAACAGAACATTCAATGTTTTGTAGATGAATATGGAATTTATTTTACTCGTGAGACAGGATTTTTTGATATTTTCACTCGTGCTTCGCACTCGTGAAAAATATCAAAAAATCCTGTCCCACTCGTGAAATAAATTCCATATTCATCTACAAAACATTGAATATCCTCTATTTATATTATACATGTATAATTGGAATATCAAAAATTCTTAGTAATTTTTCTATGGAGGAATATTTTTAGAAATTACTTATACGTAAGTCTATCTTGATGATTTACAGATAAGTTTCAATCTGCTTCAGTGATTTTTGATGTACTGCCCATATTTGAATGATTGTTTCCTGAAGTAAAACGTTTGGCTGACTTTTTTTTTTGATTACAATAAAAAAAAGAGCTTCTGAAAAGTGTATTGAGAAGTATTAAATTAACTTTACGTGACACCAAAACATGTTCTTGGTCCTTGAAGATTTGAAGAATTTAGTGAAACAAACAATTATTCATCGAAAATGACACGAGAAATCGAACATGGAATCTTGTACTATTTAAGCAGGTCTGAATATGACATGTTCTAAATTTTGTATTTACTCTTCAAATTTTAGAACATGGTATCTTAAACCAAGCTCATTGAATAAGATAAGCATCACATTGAAAACTGCGAGAGACTTTAGTGTTTTATGGTTCTGATTTGAGATTATCTGGACAAAATCGTCCGAAGTTTGGTCGTTATGTTTTGTTATTCGTAAATGAGAAGTAAGCAAAAATGTTGCTTCTGATTTAAGAATATCAGCATCAATTACAGGTCAGAGAAAGTTTCATGCTTGTTGCCTTTGAGTATGCATTGCTGATGCACAATTACAGTCTGGAAACCTCTATAGTCACATTTAAACTTGGTCTCTCGGGACATATGCACTTTACAAACATTTTCCCCCTTTGTCAATTCCCTATTTCTTTTGAAGATTTCATCTACATAAGTTTCATGATCTGGAAAAAAAATTGAAGAAAGATGATTTGATTATACGCTAAAAATTGCACATTAACACTCTATGTAAAAAAAAATTTACATGAAGGGATTGTTCAGTGTGCTTTTAAAATGGATTCAGGTAGGCGCCACTATCATAGGTTAGGAAGATTTATAGGCATTGAAACAAACTCTGCCTTCTTTTCTGATAAATCAAAATCGCATTTTCATGGCATGTTGATTTATAATACCTGCACAAGTATATAACTTCATTATTTCTATTTTGCAAATTTTTAAAAAGTAAATGTATTAATTTATGTGTGTGTGAGGGAGGGTATGTGTGTGTGTGATGGCGTTGTGTTTTTGCGCAGACTTGTCAAATTTTCGAATGTTCATCAAGTTCTCTTATATCAAGGCGGATCGTTGTTGTACTCCTTTGGACCATCTTCACAGAATTAATTACAGGTGCACATGATCTAGAAAATAGGAAAAAGCAAGAAAAAAAACTCAGGAAATGCATTTATGATTTATTACGCGTTACACAGAAATTAACATAATGAACCTCGTGATTGCAAAAACATTTATAGAAATGTCAGCTGCTTTCTCATAATACATTCTAAGTTAATTAGTATTTGAATCTAAAAACTTTTACTTAAAGTCTTCTTCATTAAGAAGAAAAAAAGTTTGAAATACCAGACACGTTTTTTATTCGAACTTATCCGCCAATATGAATGACATCGAAATATGTATGGTGGCGTGATTATTTGCTTAGAATAAGTAAAACATTTGAGCCAAAGAAAAAATAATGATGACTTGAAACAAAGTCACAAATGTGGACAGCTTTCTACCGTCTTTGTCTTTCTACTTTCAATTAGTTGTTGAAATCCAAGCTTACGATGGACCAATTTCATAACTATGCCTGTAGTGTGTTTTGCAACAAATTTTTTCGTGATACATTAGTTTTCCAATTTTTCTTGAAATTTTTCAGAGCACAAATTGAGTGAATTGGAATAGCAAATATATGGTTTCTAAATTGCTTCGTGAATCCACAGTAGATGAGGAAATTTATAGAAAAATTGAGGTAGAAGAGCAAATCCAGTAAATGGGTCACAGCCATTTCATTTTGCGTAACTACATACCCTTTCTGTACAAGAGACCTTACTTGAGACTGAAGTTTGTTTACATGCTGGGGCAAATTTAGAAAAAAGAAAACAATGAAGATTGTAATAAGCATGTTCCTGAGTTTTCTGTACGCACAAAGTGCCTGATTTCTTGACCTCGTTCTGAGAACGTTCCGCGAGTTGGGACTCCCAGATAGGGTCTTCTCATATCTTTGGTTATTTTGATTTAAGCATTTATCATCGATCTTCTTGTACACAATTTCTTTCCTTGCAGTTGGATTTGCCTCTTTAGCGAATTGTAATTGTACGATAGTTTCTTTCTTGTTATCTTTTATGGTTGCCAAAAGTATTCGTGACGTCATTACAAACATCATTACCATAGGTACAATTGACGTCAACAGAGAATCAATAAATGATATAATCAGGACAAAGTGGGCACTGTTTTCTATGCAGATTGATTTTCCATGTTCGATTTCATACACTTCCACTGTCCATAAATTATGTACATACAGCACCATAGCAAACACTGTTAAAAAGAATATGACAACCTTTGCAAGGTTTCGGTTGAGTAAGCGTAGAGTTCTAGTTGAAAGATAGAATGTCAGAATGTACATTTCGAGTGTTAGTATATTTACAATCCAAACTGACAGGAAACTGAAAACGAAAGTGAAATACACGAGTGATTGGCACACAAATGGACGATCAAAAACAGCGACATTCAAAGTGTCAATCCACAGCATGAAGACACATACGAGAAACCCTGAGTCAGAAATAGCAAGGACTGTCAAATAGAGAGAGGAAGACATCTTCTTCAGCTTGGTGGTGGTGAAGACGAGTGCAGAAATAATGTTACCAATAAGCCCAAAAAGAACAATTACTGGAAGTAGAATCCGATGTAATGTCACAGCTAGTTTCATTGGTTCTTCTGTGTTACTCTCAGGATCCAAGAGTGTCCATTGAAAATGTCCAGACTTGTTTCCAGAATTATCCATGATTAATGTCAACTGTTGATATTCAAAAGTTATCTTAAAGCTCCTTGTTTTAAAATTGTTCTGCGGAGTTTCAGTATCCGACTTAATATGATATCAAGCTATATATAGTCCGCCAAGACCCGCATGCCATCAAAATGCATAGTTCTAAGATTAGTTTATGTTCACACCCGCATGGATCAAACTGAGGATCAGTGGTATGTCTCTGAAAACATTTTACTGTACATTTGTTCATTCTCTATCTGGGAGAAAATGATATTTCAAGAATCATGTAATAAATACATGTAATGATGACTGGGCGTTCACAGAACAATAAGAGGTGCTCCAAGCAACATTTGGATTAAGGACAATATAAGTACTTTATTTTAAGAACAGTGTCAATCCTCTGATATCTTTCAAAAGTGATTGCATAGTAGTTTTTTCTTCAAAAAACGAAGGTGACTACCATGATAAGTTACACTAAATACATTACAGTTACATTAGATACAGCAAAGTTACATTTAGTACAGTAATTTCATTTTAAATACATATCCCTGTAAGATGTTTAAAAAATATGATTCCAGAAATACTAACTGTATACATGAATACATGAGTATAAAGAAATAAACGACCGCCCTAATCGTACTTATAAGCATTTGTGAATCGGTGTGCTTGCATTAGTTTTCAGGTTCTCCAACGAATTGTAGCTTCAGATCAGTAAAAAAAAATATATTTTTCTTCAAATATTCTGATTTGAATACTTTCTCATATGTTTCTCCATAAAAAACCCTCTAATTCACATATAGTTATTAACATCTGGATAAAATGAGACAGTCATATAATTCATTTCTCCTGCATTATGATGGCATATTAACATATTATGGACATTTATTATTATACAGACACTTCATGAACAGTTCATTAGAATTAATTATTATATATCAAGGCTTAATAAACATGTAATTTAAAAACATGAAATGGATCCACAAGGCTTATTCCTATTACGCATTAACTGGAAAACTCCAGATTGAAAATTTAAACAATAAAATGCTTTCGTTGGTCGTTAGTATGGAATTAATAAGTGCAGCTGTCGCAGAAAAATTGCATAACCAATGCGTAAGCATTTTGAGAAATGTATTGAAAATGAATTCTTAAAAACTCTTTGAGTGTTAAACATTAAAAACGCCGAAACCATCAGTGATTTGAGTAACGAATAACATTTTAATTATTTTTTTTTTACCAAATATACATATGTATATTGTAGCAAATTCACAAAAAATACTTCAAAATATCTTAAAAATTGATTAAACATGAACTTCAGGTTTGTTATTGCAGTATTTTTGGCTTTAAAAATTCTTTGACCAAAAAAAAAAAGAAAAAAAAAGAAAAAAAGAAGAAATGAAGTTTTAAAAAGTGAAAATAAACCATTTTAAAACAATTTTAATCAACATCGACCTTAACACGTTCTTGATTTTTAACAAGAAAGGCCATATATATCCCTTCGCAGGAGTTAACAAAATTCTATGGCTCAAGAATTGAAGGGTTACATTTTTACGAGGATAACATACGAAGTGGTCTGGCCGTTTTTTATTCTATATTGCTACAATCTGATTATTTCTACTGTACGATTTATTTCTATTGTACGATTTCAGAAGAGTATGATCAAATAGAGATAAGTTAGGGACAATTAGTAGATGTTCATTGTAATTTAAAACTCAGAGTGTCCATCCTTAGGAACCGTATATCTTGAATTATGATAATTAGATGGAGAAGAAAAACAACAAGAAAAAGAATACACCAAAATCAAGAAATATAAAAAGTTGTAAATAAATAAATAATAGTTTAATAATAAACATTTTTGGTGAAAGATAAACAAAAAGCATTAAAGGAAGTCTTTGTTTCTATTTATTATTGAAGGAAAATTTCTACACAATGACAGAATGCCACGTATAATTTACATTTCAATCAAGCTATAAAAATGTACCTTTCGTGATTAAGTTAAGACAAGGTAATTCGATCAAACGATATATAAAAAATGGCTAAATGTTATCATTCTTATTTTTTTCTTACACAACATACCGTTTGAACCTTTTTTTTCAAAAGATAAATAATACTTAAGTATTGCGATGCATGTTGGTTTGATGAATTATCGCTTAATTCTAAAAGAGATAAATGTTAAGCAATTCGGTCTTCTAGAAAGTCGATTTCAACTCAGAATGATTACATAAATTAACTGTGTACGTTGTTGCATGTAAAATAAATGGATTCAGTCGGTCCCTTTGACAGTCCATCATGGGAACGATGAAATAAAAAAAAAAATGTAAGCTGTTTTCTGTTCAAAACCTAATTGTTCATTTTTAACAAGGAAATTCAAGATAATTACAATGCGTCTCATGTTTACAACCATTAACTTATTTGTCTTTTCAAAATAAAACATCTCTTTTGTTTGCGATTCAAATTTTATTTGGAACATAATTAATGTCTAATGTACAACAAGGTGTGGGCAACTTAGTTTTAGAAAAATACATTTGTAGTGCGTTTTCTTTAAATCTTATTTGTAGACTCAGTTCATTGTATTCTTGTTCAAAAAAACTGAACAGCAACAAACAAAAATGAAGTTATTTATTTGTCTTTGTTTAAGTTTTTTTTAAAATCATATTTCTTTCTATTAATAGTTTCTTTAAGATCCCTACAGTACACAGTTGCTATTCTTTGTAATTCTATCATTTCAAATATAAGTAATATTTGGTTATAAATCATGCACTGTAAGAAACACTAGACAATGATTAATGAATAGAGAAGATATTGTGGTAAATATTGGTTAAATCTTCGCCCACATTTTAGTCAGTCATGGTGCAAAATAAACTTTTCAGAAACCGTATCAAAGCAGTGACAAACTTCAGTTATCGTCCATCGTATCCACCACAAATGTTTTATTTTGTAACAAACTTCAGCCATTGTTCACCGTATCAAGCAGAAATGTTTATATTTTCAAAAAGTTAACTATGACACAAACACAATTTTCACAAAAAATGATAAAAGTGAATTAATTGACACAGAAATGAAATAAGTATTAATGATCAATTCCGAATTGACTAGTAAAATATCAGTGTTGCATTAAAAGTTGAAATCTTAATTTAAACTAACTAACATCACATTGGTAAAAATCAGAGGGTGAGATTAGTATTATGATGAAATAAAGGGGAAATGTGCATGAACCATAGGGCTCATCAATGACACTTTTTGTAGCTCTTTCATGTAAATGATATGCAGTAAATCTTCTCATTGCAACTACAAACACACTAGAGCATACTCAAATAAGCTCTGTTAGGTTTATTTGCAAAATTATACCAGTTTGTTGCTAATTTACTACCAATTAAACATTTTACATTCCGTTTGGTTAAAATCTTCAAAGAAAAAGTCCTCAAGAAACTAAAATCTATGTTACAGAGGATATTTTTGATTCTATTACGGAGTGTTTTGATGATATGTAATAATTTTATCAAAACGTACAAATTCATTCTGCCCTAAACCTTTGTCTGATTTATTGTTTTACATTGTCGCCTTAGGCCAGATTTAAAATAATGTTTGTTTGCCCTCTCCCGACTCAGGATGAAAAAAATGGGTTGGTAGGTATGTAAGAAATATTTTTCAAGAAAATTTCAATTTCATTGCTGAATTTTTAATATCTATTTTCCAAAATGTATTTTAAAAAAAATAATAATAATTACTTCCAGGAGGTTAGAAAAAGGATTTGAGTCGGGCCATTTTTAGCCAGTCTGTCGGGAGAGGGCAACCAAACACTTTTTAGGTCACCTGAGTCACTCAGGTGACCTATTGCTATCCGTTTTCGTCCGTCGGCGTGCGTCGTGCGTCGTGCGTTGTGCGTTAACATTTGAACATTTTCAGCTTCTTCTCTGAAACCGCTCAACCAATTTCAACCAAATTTGGCATATAACATCTATGGGTGAAGGGGGACAAAATTTGTGAATTTCATGGTCCCTGCCCCCCTGGGGCCTGAGGGGTGGGGCAAAAACCACTAAAATTAAGGCAATCTTTAAAAATCTTCTTCTTTACTCCTGGACATCAAGCAGTCAAACTGTTAGCATGATTGTAATAAGCATTGAGCCCTCTACCAAAATTGTGAAATTCATGGCCCCAGGGTAAGGGGTTCTGGGGCTAGGGTGGGGCTATATAGATCATATAGTAAAAGTGCATTATTTCTTCAAAAATCTTCTTCTCTGCTCCTGGGTATAAAATAAACTAACTAAGTACACAGTTATGATAAGCAAGAATGCCCCTTCCAAAATTGTGAATTTCATGGCCCCTGGGTCAGGGGTTCTGGTGAAAGGGGGGGGGGGCTCTATTGATTATATAGTGAAAATGCATTATTTCTTTGAAAATCTTCTTCTCTGCTTATGGGTATGAAATAAACTAACTAAGTACATAGTTATGATGAGCAAGAGTGCCTCTTCAGAAATTTTGAATTTCATTGCCCCTGGGTCAGGGGTTTTGGTGAAGGGGGGGGGGGTATTGATTATATAGTGAAAATGCATTATTTCTTTGAATATCTTCTTCTCTGCTTATGGGTATTAAAGAAATTAACCAAAAACATAGTTATGATGAGCAAGAGTGCCTCTTCAGAAATTGTGAATTTCATGGCCCCTGAATCAGGGATTCTGCTGTTAGGGTGGGGCTCTATTGATTATATAGTGAAAATGCATTAATTCATTGAAAATCTTCTTCTCTGCTCCTGGATATTAAATAAACTAACTAAGTACATAGTTAGGATGAGCAAGAGTGCCTCTTCCAAAATTGTGAATTTCATGGCCCCTGGGTCAGGGGTTCTGGTGTTAGGGCGGGACTCTATTGATTATATAGTGAAAATGCATTAATCCTTTGAAAATCTTCTTCTCTGCTCCTGGGTATTAAGTTCAGTAACTAAGTACATAGTTATGATGAGCAAGAGTGCCTCTTTCAAAATTGTGAATTTCATGGCCCCTGGGTCAGGGGTTCTGGTGTTAGGGTGGGGCTCTAT